GTCTGCCTTGTAGAGGCTGAGAGCACACAGCAAGAAACTAACAACAAATTAACTGGGTTTGCATAAAGAGCATGAGACATACAGCTAGTAGTATTATTGACCAATCAACTTGACACCATAAAATGAATATCATTTTGTAATTCCCTGTAATAATCTGTCCATAAAAATAGGATTTGTTATACATTCTGGGTTTTTTTTTTAGGAATAAGCGGTCCATTTGCCTTTATCTGTTTTTCACACAGTTTGAAAACATATGAAAAGAAGTAGACAAAAGAATGAGGTCTGACAGGATACACACAGAATACAAATAAATGTAGTCACTGAAGAACAAACTAAAACATTTGGCTTTACAAATGGTTTGGTTTGCAAATACATCATATGTTAAAAATTAGTTTTTTGGGTTTTTTTGCTATGCATGGCAGTTGTGTTTCACAGAGGGAGAAATGTGAGCGTTCACAGGCAGCAGCAAACACACCCACACAACTATCTCTGGGCAGTAAGCACAGTACTGTTCAAATGGTAATCAAATGTCAACAATCAAAATTTTGCACACAACATTGCAACAGTTCCTGTGCAAAAGACTCATTAGAACTTTGTCTGTGACGGCTTACCTGAGCCAGACTTTGCATTGGCCACAGTCATGTTTATTATTCCTCAGCTCAGGACGGTGAAACTCTCTAGCACGGTCAAAAGCCACCCAACTGCCTGCTTATAGTAACCAGTGCAACTGGAGAGCTGCAGAAGGTAGGAAACCTGCTCAAGTCAGTGTATTGTTTACTAAGATCATCACAAAAGCCATGTCAAAAAAGAGAAGCAGGCTGAGACATTTGCCAATATGTATTGCTGCAGAACTCATATTGCGGAAAGAGAGGCACAAAATCGCACAGAAAAAAAAGGTTTTTTGCCTTGGAATTAAGGGAATGACAAAGAGAGCTATTGAATGAAAAAGGAATGAAAAAGGGTCTACCATCTGTCTGGCTAAAGGTTGTGCCAGCCATACACAGAGAGGCCCCTGGGACTGTACAAACATGCTGTCCCAACAGAGTGAGGCAAAAACAGATCTGCCACTGCCTTGTAGGTAAGTGGACAAACAAGTACAGACCACCCCATTAAACTGTAAGTTGTGAACTGTATAAACATCATAAATGGAGCATTGTATTCAATGTCAACAAAGACAGCAAACAGCCAGATAATCATGCAGAGGTAAAAGGAAAAACACAAATGGCATAAACTCACCTATAAACTGTGCTCAAATCATGAGTGCAGCAGTCCGACACGGAGCCCCACGTTTTCTACAAAACACTCATCTGGTACTTCTGGGCTACAGAGAGAATGGGGAAGAAAAAAAAAAATCACATTACAGTTATTGAATTGTCCCAGACAGCATAAGACCCTCCTCGGTATTGATAAAATCACCACATGCTGCTAAGTAAGCTCCTCTCTACCCCAAGGGTGCCTTCATTGCCTAGGCATTTCCTGTTCATTTAGTAGTATTATAATGCAGCCATTCCAGTTGTCCAAACCAATCACATGACCAATGGCTGTTTAAAAATACCTTATTACTACCACCAAGTCAGATCAAGCTCCTGAAGAGTGTGACTGTGGAGTATTAATTGGGTTCTGTGGATTTAAAAAGATCAAAAGTCAAAGCTGTAACTACAAGGTACATTTCATTTGTATAGGGCACATTTCATTTTTGTGGTCATAGTTCATTCGTATTATACACAGCATATTCCATGCAGAATCATGCAGTTTTCTGCAATTTATGCCTAATACGTCCAACATAAAAAATAAAATGATTGAAATACAGCACGAACAATTAATAATGTTCATTACACAAAACATTTCCTAATGATTAAAGAATAAGACTGACTTAAAAAAGAAAATATAAAACTGGAGGTATGCTAGGAAATTGGACAGGTTTATAGACATTAGACTAACTTTGTCAGTACATTGCTTGTGATGGTGTTAAAATGCTCTAATAGTGCATCAAGTCGTTGTTTTCAGTTGAGCTGAAATGATTAGTCAATTAATCAATTTGTTGATTGAAAGAAAAATAGTTGGCAACAATTTTGATGATCAATTAATCTTTTCTGTCATTTTTCAAGACAAATTGTGAAAAAATGCCAAATATTCTCTTCTTCCAGCTTCCCAAATGAGATGATTTTTAGCTTTTCTTTGTGATATATCGTTGTAAAGTAAATATTTTTGGATAATTGGACTTTTGGTCAAACAAAAACAGAACATTTGAAGATGTAATGTTCGGCTCTGCGAAGCTGTGGTTTCTATTTTTTAATAACTTTTTGATACTTTATAGATTAAGCAATAAATCTGCAAATTAATCAGTGATGAAAATATATACTAGTTGCAGCACTACTTTTGAGTTAACTGAAAAGGCAGCATGGACACTTCTTTGCCTTTTAAAACATTATTGAGCTACAAATTAGACAGAGGCCTTTCAGGCAGTTGTATTATGTTTCTCTTGTATTGTTTTGCATTTGAGGAAATGTTTAGGTAAAACATCTGACTAATGACATAATGGGCATAAAATCTAACAGCAGGGCATATGTTACATTAAAGAAAGGGTGACCTATAATGCCATTATAAAAATGTGACTCCAACTTTCAAGATACGAGATAAGAGTGTGAGAATCTGTGACAACTTTGACTTCAGATACAACAGCAACAACATATAACAGCCACTCATGTTGAGTTCATTCACAACCCTCAGAGATTAAAAACCAGGCTTGTTGAATAGGGCTCAGATGAGGCAAGAAGCACACAGGTTGGTTGAGACAGTGTACACCGCCTCCACCAGTCCTACATGAAACACATGAGGAGCAGCCCGGTAGGAGATGAGCGCTCGGTGCTCATGGTGGCGAATAGGTTCGTAACGAGTCGTTCTTACGTTAACCGAAGTCACAAAAGTTACAACTTTCAACCAAAACTTTTCAAGAGTCTTTTCAAGAAACATGTTGGCTGCAGTGAGTTGAACATTTGCTGTCACGTTACACCTACACGCGTATTGGGCACGTGTAGCCACATCCAACATGAACTAATTTAGTTAGAATGATAACTAGCCATTGGCAGCTAATTGGTAGCGATAAATAGACATTTAAGTGTTAACAAACAGCGACTGGATATGAATTGAAATTGGTTAAAGTGCGGCTATGTGCTGCCAGGTCCCTATTATCGTTGATTCCACCGCTGCCCGTCCCGTTGTAAATTAGTGCTAGCCGTTGCTAGTTTGTAGCTCATTTAGGCGAGTTAGCAATGCTAATGACTTACAGCAAACACTAGCGTGTGCTTACACGTGTACGACATCTTTCAGACTGACGTATAATACTGTTACCTTAAACTAACAGGCAAGTCTGTAACATTAACCGAACTACCTTCACTTGTTCGTGTTTTCTTGCAACGTAGTAGTAGCAAGATACAGTTAGCCACATGTCCACTCTTTAGCCAGATAGTAGCTATCAGTAATATCATGTGGCTCAAACTAGCTAGCTGCCGCTAGCTGATGGTACAGTGAGAGCCGAGAAACCATAGTGTCCTAATATGAGATTGTCGCTTAACCGCCTGGAGAAATAAATTAATGATACTTTACCTAATTAAATCAGTATCATCCAGTCACGCTGCCATGGTTCCCTTCATTTCAAAGTTTCGCAGATCACTTGCGCAACAGTAAGTTGTTAGTGCATTTCCAGTGAGCCTTGCCTGCGCCCCTTCCCTCAGTTCCCCGTGCACACAGCCTGTGCCGTGCTAATGACATCCAATGCCGTTCAAGTTATATCTAGCCTACTGAATTCCTGTACTACCCACCCATCTAATTTACTGTGAACACTACTCAAAAATAAATACTAGTAGTTGAGAAAAGGTGTGTCGAGGTAAACATTCATTCAAAGCATTCATGGGTTCGTCCAACATTGTTTCCCCATCAAACCAATTACCTGAACTGTTATAAACCCTCTGGCTGCTTTTGATTGAAGACTGTACATACTCACTGCTATATTGTCAGTTGACAGCTCACTAAAGCCATTTGGTCACCATAAATCCAAACAAACAATGGCCCCCAGTTTGTCCAGCTACCATGGCTTATATCTGTAGTTCTTTAAATATGCTTTACTGGATGTTATTCTCTATTCGTTGTAAATGAAGAGTACCAGTAATGTCAAATTTCTCTTCTAGTTATGGCAAAACATAATGTATCAGTGACTATTGCTTAGCAAACAACATATTTAAGAATTAAACTTTGTGACTACACTTACCCCATTAAGAAGACATACTGTAGATCTTGCATCTGTTAATGGCACCAGTCATATAATATCCCCACATCTGGCTAATAAATAATTGAATTTGTACCACCTGTCAGAAGGACAAAATGAAGCACCAAGCATTACCCCATTCACCAAATCTGGTAATTCAGCTGCAATGAAGCTTCAAAGAAAACCAGTTTTGCCAGCTTGCATAGTTCTATTGAACCAGTAGCTTGGACCAGGTGTCAAAACAGAGTTAAGCAAATTTTCAGTGTTACGTGATTTGCTTTTGATGTATCCAGGTCACTTGATGGGATTAAACTGTTAATCTGTTTTCAGGTAGAGTGTAGGTACATCGCAGCAGGTTTGAAATAACAAGTGAATGCAACACTGTGGTGTACTCAGTTTATGATTCATTTCTGTTTTTTCTGCCTAAATGGAATATTACCAGCAGACATGAATTATAAGGTATTTATCCCAGTTTAAAAATTCTCTAAAAATGTTTTGATGCCAGTTCACCAGTAGAGAGCACTGTTACTCATGACACACAAGACACTGTACAACATGTGATTAGATAGTACTGCTTGGTGCTTGTTGAGCCAAATTAGCCAGAGTGAGATGATAGGACTATATGTTTAAAACATGTTTTAGTGTAACACTGGCAGCATTACAGACCAAAGTAGTTGCCATATGCAATTTTTATTTCATGCAACACATGTTTATTTCATATCAGTAACAGACATGGCAACAGTTTTGTGGTAGTCAGCCTTGATATGACACCTTAGGCAGCATCACCACAATGACACCCCATCATATCTGTAAATAAGGAAGTCAGTAAAAAGTCTGTTTTAAGCGCATTTTTGTAAGAGGTTTTTTTTTCTATACACATAAAAGAGGAACACCAATTATTTGAATCCAATACCACCATTAACTACAACCTTAAAATCACCATAAAATACAGTCAACACTTGTTGGACACAGTGTGAACATTAACTGCACATCATTATCTTCACAAGAATAGAATAGCATTACACTAGATTGTATGGATGTTCGTATTTTTCCAGTATCTCATTGGACATGTTTTATCATGCATTACCATAATTTATATTGCATAAAATTGACAAAGACAATGCAAATTTGTGGAAAAAAAATTGAGTGGATATTAGTGCAGCCTAGCACTGTAATTTTAAAAAAGGTTACCTGGCATAGTTAGATCCTGGAATACTCTCGGCGCTCTCCCGCACCAACACATCTGAAAATACAGTATCTGGAGCATCTCTTTTCCCATATCTATGCATAAAAAAGACAAGCAACACATCAATACAACTTTGCATGTACTTTTACTTCTTATTTTCTGAAGCTATAGTATTTTATAGAAATTCAAGAACTGACCTCTGTCTTGTGATGAGATTGATGTAGTGTCTTAGTGCAGAATAATATTTGGCAAGGTCCTCAGGTGGTGCTCCTTCCCGGGGATTGGCGGGCTTGGCTGGATATGCGTCTATGCCAGAATGAATACAAGACAGCAGGCAGAGAGCCAGCATGCTCAGCGGCATGGCAGCACTGGAGCAAATCCTGGATCACAGGGAAAATGATTAGTCAAAATGCATAGTAAAAATAATGATCAAATAATGTCACAATGCCAAATCAGAAATAGAAGCTCAATATTGGACTGATACTGACAGTTCATAAACTATAAAAACTGCATTAATACTCACTGACTTTCAAACAAAAAGTGCAGACAGAACGCATTTCAATGAAAAAGTGACAAATAAGAAGATACCTGGCTTACATTATAGCGTGATACTTAATACTGCTGTTGTCGGTTTTCTCTGGTCAAGGCACCTCTGTCTGATTCCCAACATTGCCTGACTTTTATACAGTGTGTGTCATGTGGGGAGGGAGGGTGATTTCATTCACTCTTGGGGCACTCCTGAGATGTATCTACTGCCTCATTAGTTTAGTAATCCTTGAATGGCAAGGCAGTGAAATAACAAAATAAATCCTGTTTATCACTAACTCCAATGAAAAACATAGCACTGGTTCTGTTATTTTCCTGTTATTGAATTTATCAAAATGTTGATTATTTGAGTTAACATGTGCTTTGAGGTTGTCATTATTCCTGGTTTACATCACCACAAACTTATGTTTTACAACATTATCAACAGATTTAACTACACATCAACTCGCAGACTCCGACAGAATTGATTCATGTCAGTTTGACAAGTAGTTATTTTATCTTGAATTCTCTTTTCAATATTGAATACAGTAAAAAGTTTGGAGAGCTGAAAAGGGTATACCTGATCACAGCATGTTTTACCCTTTCGTTCAAAAATAAATATTAAAGTGGAAAGCCTAAAACCTTTCATTTAAATGGCTCACCAGAATAACAAGTTTCATTAAAACTAATGATGCGCAACTTGAAGTGGCTGATGATGGTCTGTTGTTTTCGCATTAATTTGAAATATGTCCCGATGTCCTGGGTGTTTGGAAAGATGGTGTTTCACTTTAAAGAGATATGCAGAGGGGGGGTCTTCAAACATTTATGAATTTAATTATGAAGTAATACTCTGAAATATATCATCCAAAGTCTTCAAGTCTTCAAAGTGCTTCAAAAGTCTCAAACTCATTAAGAAACGTGATCGGTGTAAATCCATTGTTTTTTGATCACTTATCATGTATCTAATCTACTTGACTGCAAAATAGTGACCCTACAACTCTACTTTAAACATTCCTGACTGACATACAGTTGTCTTAAGACAATAACTGGACCTTTTTCGTCAAACCAACAAGCATAGCTCCAAATTACACCAAACCATAGAAAGGACAGTAAATCACACAAACCTGTTAAATTTCAGTTCCAGTTGATAGAGGGCACAAAAAGCTTTCATTCTCTAAATGGTAAGATGACTTTAATGATAACTATTTTCTATGAAGAGCACTCTACTGAAATTTGACAGTAGACTGGTGCTGCTGTTTCGTATGACAGTCGTGGCAGAACTCTGTTCCAGGAAAAAACAGAACAGTCTGTGCAGGTAAAGTACTTTAAACTATAAACTACAGAACTATGAACTTTTAGCGTGATATTACACTATGAATATCCAGATGCTGTATAAAAAAATGACTTATTTAATTCAGCAAAAAGTGTTAATGCATTTTAAATAAAAGGATTTTGATAGATGCAACAAATCCAACTGTGTCTCCCAATCTACCCTTTTGATGTTCAATACAAATCTGCCACAGCATGAATGTGTCAAAATTCCTTGAGACCAAAAGCAATAAAACATCATCCAAATTCAAATCTCCAAATCTCCACAGCAGTCACTCCCTCTTCAAACATGACAGACTTACTCTTGCTTGCAACAATAAAAAAAAAAGAAGAAAACAATAAAAAAAAAAAATATGCAATTATACTTTACTATTACATACTGGTCATACATTTTTGGAGTCATTGGTGTTTTACTACCTTAGTACTATACCTTTACCTTATTTTAATACTTCACAAGTGAGCACCAGGTGGCTAAATTACAAAGAGCCCTTTAGGTGTCATGTCTGATGACACTCGTAATAAACACCCGCCATTGAGAGAAAACCAAAGACAGTCGCCAAGTGCCAACCCACCTGCAGGATGCAGGCTGATATCAAAGAACCTAAATACTCACTTCTATTTGTTTTAACACTGCAAATACAACACCACAACTCTACCGTGCTGGTAGAGTTGTCGTGTTGGATTTGCAGTGTAGGGCAGGGGATTGAGAGGGCAAGGAATCGAAGCTGAAAGTCTTGGTTGAGGGTTATGAATAAATGATTTATTCCCAGCCAGCTGCATACTGAGGAGAAATCAACAACATATAGATAGAATTAGGATTGCATATACACAAGTGAAAGGTAAGCTTCATACTGGTTATAAATGTTATTCATTTCAGTGAAAACAAGTGCAATGAAAGGAGACATTTTGTGCCACTCATTGTACCTGCTCTGCAACTGCTGTTTCCAAAAGCTAACGAACCTCCCTGTTCGTCAGTCTCCTCCATTATAGAGTATATTAACTCCTGCATGGCCATAAATGGCTACACAGCAGTTGGTGAAATGGCTCCGCGGTTAATGAGAACATTAGCCGCAATAAAAGCTTTTGATTCACACACTGAACTAATCTTTTTCTTTCACTTGGTTTAATACAGTTTGGGGCGTAGCAGGTCTAACAGCTTAAGCAAAGGGTTGCATTAATTGCTTTTGTACAATCTCACACACGTGCCACCATTATCTCTAAATACCATGGAAAAGGTGCAAATTAAAATAACTATTTTTTACAGTCCATCTTTGGTTAAACTCTAAATATTTAAGTATGAGCAACAATTTCAAGTCCACATTGTTGCATTTGCGTGGGTTTTTGATGTGTTTCCTGCTGGAAGTTCTGTTACCTGAAGGTGCTGATATTCACTATTTGTTCATCCGTTTTAGACAGAGTAAGTATAAACAACCATAACAACAGGCACAAAAACGTTCAAACACCAGGTGCTGTCAGGCTCTGTGTGGGTATCTCCTGCTTCATTACATTTTTACATTTAGCTAATGTTCTGATCCAGCATGACTTACAGCAAGTCAATGAAACGGAATGGTCACTTGCTAGGAAGTTATGAGGCAGTTGTGCGTGTGTGGTATGTGTGCATGCACCTATCTAGTATCTTTGCTTCTATTTCTGTTTACTTCAGACTCTGATTCTCCACAAAAAAAATGCTCATTTGCAGGTATTTGGATCTAAATAAAAGAAAATGCACTTTGAACTGTGTATTTTATTGTGACATCATCAAATTAAAAATGTTGCATAGCTTGGTATCATAAGACTGCACCGATGCAGACTGTCAAGGCTCTTTGAGTTGTGCAAGTGCTGACCAACCTACCAGTATGTTACCAATTCACTGACCGATCTTTTAGCCCATGTAAGTGCTGAGTGAATGCATGTCATGACTTTGGCCAATAACGTCTCTTTTCTTGGAAGCAACAATCTTTTTGCTCGATTGGATTGAAGGCATCAACTGCAATGGCTTGTTTTGGTAACCCAACGTAATCATTTCTATCGGAAAATGTTCTTAAAACTTCATTCTTTGCACACAACAAACTGCTCAGTGAATTGGATCCACAGGTGGAAGGTGAAAAAAGTACGCTCACCAGAGTTATGTGCTTCAGTACAACTTTGAAGTTCTGGTGGTTTACTTGAATATTTCCATGTCATGCGTTTTTATTCTTTGGCTCCACTACATTTTAGAGGAAAATATTTTGAAAGTTTCATTAATTTCAACAGTCTAAAAAGGGACAATTCTTTGGAGTTAGTACCTTTACTTTTGATACTTACTGTGTACAATTCACAGCTAGAATTTTGTATTTCTGAAGAATATTTTTACACTGTGTTTTTTCCAACTATACTTATAATAATCTTATAATAATAATCTAATATAAATATTAGATTAGATTAATATAATCTAAAATATACAAGTAAATATTTAGACAAGTTTTAAATGATATGGAACAGTTTTAAAATAATTTATTTTGAACCATCAAAATATGTTAAAATATTTAAAACAAAAAACATCAAACATTATTTACAAATATCATATGATTCTCTATAAAGGTCAAGTAATGTAAAAAAAAGTGTATACAATTAATCAAAATGATGGGGCAGTAATTACTACAGTATAGCTGTTGCATAAGACATTAATCCACACCAGTCTGTCAATTCTCAACGCAAAATGTGTTGTTTTATTGTCCAAAGATAAAGTGTAGTATTTCTACTCACAGTGATGGGAAAGGATGAATCCAACATTGCAATGAAGTAGTAAAGTCTGTGAACAACTTAGATGATTTGTCTTGTGTTGTCACTTTGTGACGTCAGCGTCATATATGAAGTCTTCTGGTAGTTTCTCAGCAGGTATGCTCCTCAGCTGCTCATCATACCTACGGAGAGTCCAGAGTTTCTCCAGTTCATACACGTCTCTGGTCTCTGGCAGCATGAAGTGAACAACCATATTACCTAAGGTGAAAGCAAACGGACACTAGTAACGACAATAACAAAACACCAGTGTATATAAACAACAGTGTAAATTGGACACTTAAAAGATAGGAGCTCTGCGTTTTATATACCAAAGTCAATACACATCCAGTCCTCTGTATCCTTCCCTTCTATCTTGACATTTGGATCTTCATCTTTCTTCAGAAACTTGTACTGGAGGAAAAGCATCATTTGTGTAAATTTTAAAAACACAGGCTGCACATATTAACATGTCACAAAGAGAGAAAAGGCATCATTTACCACTTTGATAGCATAAAGTGCCATTGCGCGGAGATGTCTCGGTGATACACCACTGACGACAATGAAGTTTTCAGCATATTTGATCTGGTCTGGAACTTTGATCACACAGATGTCTACCGCATTTTCCTGACGTAGTAGAGACACCAGCGTATCAAGAGTGAAAGTCTCTGAGAGTCCTGGAGAAAACAATGGTGAAACATTTTGTCTGACAATATTCAAACATAAATGTGGCTCTACAGTGTCTGGATGCAACAGCACATATCTTTTTTTCAACTCACTGCTGAAACAGATAAACGCAGTCACATACAATAATTAAAGCAATGCAGGTTGACTGAGTTACCTCATCCATTAAAGTAACTAACGCTGCAGCTAACAACTTTACATTATCCATTAATTTGCTGATTATTTTCTTGGTTAATCGCTCTATAGTCAAATATGTAAAATGTCAGAAAACAGTGAAAAACAAAGTCACAATTCCTAAATCTGAAATGATTAATGGATTGGTCAATTGACAGTAAACTAATCAGCATTTAATTTGATAATCAACTAATCGTTTTGAGTCACTTTTGCTGCAAAAATGCCACAGTTGGGCCCAGCATCATAAATTTGAGGGTTTGCTGCGATTCTTGATCTTACACGATGGTAAGCGTATTAAATATCTTTGAGATTCTGTTGTTGGTTGGGGGAAAAATGCAATTTGAAGAGGTCACCTCAGACTCTGGGAAATTGTGATGGGCAATTTTCCATTTTTTTTCTGATATTTTATCAATAAAACAATTAACTGATTAATTGGGAAAACAATTGATAATGAAAATATTAGTTGCAGTAAATTCCCAGAGCCCTCGAAAACCCTGAGGCATGCAACTAAGAACTACTCTCATTATCAATTAATTCCATTTGTAATAATGGAGTAAAAATAACATATCCTCACATTTAACTCTGAAACATCCAATCTTAGGCATTTTCCCTTTAAAATTACTTAAAAGATCAAATAACTAATTTCCTGTCTATCAAATTCAATCTATTAATCGATTTATTGTTTCAGCTCTAAGACTAAACACCTACTCACTTTGACTCGGGGCTCTGCTGTCACTGTCCATCTCATGCGATTCCTCTTGAGACACGCCATGGCCCCTCTTTGAATTACTGCTTTCACTACACACCTCTGAATAACATCTCTTTGTGTCTAGATGACCGGTGAAAACATGATGCCATCGCTGACATGAGGCTGAATTCGGTGTTAAACGTCGAGGTGAACACAGGCTGTGACACCGAGCTGTGGAGATTGAACAGACGCTTCTAAAAACACCGGTTTGTTCAAGTAAAACGCGTCTTTTAAACACCGGCGACACCAGTTTCTTACAGCGATTGAGGATACTCATGATTTCAACATGTACAACATTCGTAAAAGTCTGAATGCAATCCACGCGTCTATCAAGGGCTAAACTAAAAACAGGAAGTGATTGTCGCCCTTGGCTTTGGATTGGCTCGCCCGACTTCTTTGTTGGTTTCTGGGCCTTGCCTGAAATAAATGAAGAGCAAACCCTATCGGTCACAACGCTCATTGCCCTGAGAACTCAGGCTGGTGATTTTGCAAATCAGTATACTGCATAAATTGCCCTGTGATTCATACTTTGCCTTAGCCTGGTGATACTGCTTTAGATATGCAAAACACGGCCTCATTGTCAGCTTTAAAAATATGATTCAGTCATGTTTGCTTTGACTTGATTTGTTGATTATACTTTGTATTATTAATCTGAATCTGCACAGTACCTAGAAACTTAAACTATCGAACAAAAAGTTGCCTCTGAGTTGTAGTTGAGTAGAAATATAAAGTAGTAAAATGCAAATATCCAATTACAGCGCTCTAAAGTACCTCAAAACTGTACTTGACTACAATATTTGAGTAAATGTTTTTAGTTACTTTTCACCACTGAATATATAATAAGATTTCTCAGCCTATTTCATGCACTCAAACATGGGCCTATGCTGGTGCATCCTGCCCTGTAAACTGTCCCTTTGAGCAGCAAATTTCTTTGAAATTTTAGTCAAATTATACACTTTATAATTGACGACAAAAACAAGATACACAATGTAAAATTCATTATTTGCATTTATTTCTGTAGGAAATATTTCGGAATGAAAAATCTTAAAAATATATTGTTTTACAAAATCAGTACATCTGGCCCCTGAGCAACTTTTAATGCATAAAATTGTATACATTATAAAATTTAAATAAATCCATATTAATGATACCTGAGGTAAAATCTTATTGGTCAAGTACACTGTCATTGAAATCACATATTCAAGTATGTAAACAAAACATTATTGTGTCTGTATAGATCGGAGCAATGTACATTTTTATACATTTTGTTCCCTTTGTTCAAACATGAAGTTGTGCTCACATTAGTCCTCATTCATCAGCACAGTCAGAGTCCATTGTTACATTTAGTCTCAAACCCACAGGAATATGGTCTGCAAGGCCAGCCAGCTGGGTTATGAAGGTCACCTCTTCGATTTCCTAGATGGAGACAAAGAGAGCGTGCGGTTTTCACAATGCTTATTCTTTTTCATGGGAGATACAGTAGCTTGTGTTTTGAGCACTGACTGACCTGTAACTTCAATGAGACAGAAAGAACGGAGAAGAAAGAGAGAACCGAGTAGACAAAAGGGTAAAAACACAGTGGGATACATACTGTTCCGCATTGTTTTGAAATGGAGCTTTCGCGGTACAGGATGTAGTCGATCCGACGTCCAATCCACGGCTGGCCAGGCTCAGGGTAATCAAATGGATGGCCGTCTTTAGGAACAGGAGGAGAGATATAATGCTTTCTCAGCTCTTCTGTTTCCAGAGTTCTACACAGAGACAAAGAGAAGACAGAGAGGATCTGCATGTCATTTAAGGGAATAAACTATGAGTGAGGAGTTCTGTTAACATCACATTAGTGGTGCTGTGCTAAAGACAATGAAACTGAGTGTACCTTTGTAGATTCTCTGGGGTATTTACGTCATCTTCATACAACTTAGGCTGCTCCAGTAGAGTACCTTTGGAAGCAAATCAATGTAATACCCTATGAATGTCAGCGTATAGCATAAGTATGCAGCATTTACTATAGTTTAATGGTTTCAAATGCTACAAACCAATGACCCAGGGCTTCTCTTTTCCAGGCCCTGCCCTGCAAGGATCTCTGTATTCATTAAACAGGCACTGATTCTGTTCCAGGGTGTCATCTAGACAAACAAAAACAACATTTATAGACTAAAAGAACTGTTGGTTAAGATGCTTTCAGGAAAAATCTTAGCAAAAAATTGTCAGAGACATAGACGTACTAGGTGAGCAGTTGTCAAAGTTCAAATCACCACAGAGCACATCAAAAACAATGTCCTCATCAGGCTGTCTGTTGGCAGCTTGAAAATCACCAATCCACTTGATTACCATGTTCATCTGATCACAGCGAATTTCCCCATCATCTAATAAGTAATCACAGAAAAGCAAAAAGAAAAGAATAAGTTTGTTTCCTCATAAATAACAATACAAAATTTTCTGTTAACCTGAGCAAACCATATCACAAAACGTCACTTGCCCTCTGGTGCATGAAGGTGTGTGCAGTTAACATAGCCAACCAGTTTCTTCTGTTTCTTATTCTTCCCAATAAGTACCTAAGAATATCAAAAACCATCATTACATCATATTTTCACTATCTTAACAGTATTACAAAATCCTGACTAGTAATTGTGAATTTTGTAAAACAGAAAACACAACATTAGTAACTGACAGTGGCTTCATTCACGATATTAAGCAATGTACCTTAGCAGAAAGGAGGCCCTTAGAAGCCAGTGCATCTTCCCCACTACTGCTGGGAAAGCAGTGGTACTGGGCTTCGAGCACTGGGAATCGGCTGGCTAGGAACAGACCACTGTTAATGAACTTGAAAGAGGAACATGTGCATGGTGGTTGGCAGGCATACACACCGACATCATACAATATGTGTCCAAATAGGGGTCTTAGTGCTTGGGTGAGTTTCCATGCAGCCCTCTTATCGAACACTTCCTGTAGGCACAATATATCCACATTGGCTGGAAACAGTGAGGACACCTCCACGGGTGCATCGTCCTGTTGGCGGAGACCTTGGGAGAACAGGGCTCGGGGAGCACTCCGGTGACCTGTTCGCCCCTGCTGGTTGAAGTTCTCGTTGGAATTGTAGAGGGGAGAGGGTGACTCTGTCGAGGGCTGTTCTGTATCATCACAGGGCACACAAACCACGCGACTATGGGACTTTGGGATTGAAGCTTGTCCTTTAGCTGTGTCTGAATCGTGACTTGCTGGAGGCTGGGCCTGTCTTTCTGTAGCCCCATATGTAGCTGAGTTAACTGTGGGGAGTATGCTGCTGGAGGGGCTGAGAGTACCACAGCTGCTGGGGGAGTCAACAAAGATGCGGATATGGGGACGACTCACACCCTGCACAATGCGCTGACCAACTGTGGTTGCCCTGTGCTGGGTGTGTCCCAGGTTGTTAAAGCGAGCCAGGGAATCAGGCAAAAGACACAGGTTGGCTGTGGCAAAGCTAAATGATGCCTTTCCTACCAGCTCAAAGCCCCTGTGTATCTCCACCTCTGGTGAGGATGGTGTTGTTCTGTGGTAGCAAAAGGGTCTGCGGCAGGCCTGAAGGGGAGCCCAGAGCAGAAAGCCCAGGAGGGCAAAAGGGGCTGCAGCGAGAAAAAGAATGAAGAAGATAATGGTGCCGAAGAACACCTTGAGGCCGAAGAGGAAGCAGTCCTGTTTCTTTTGCTCCAGGGTGGTGGGCTTCCACACAGCAATGAGGCGATCAAGAAACCAGAAACAAGGGAAGATGAATGCCCATCCCACAGCATGGAGGCCTGCAACAAAGTCATTAGGAAAGGGAGATTCCTGCAGGGCCATGCCTCTGCCCCTTTTCTAACCAGCAATCAGGATTCCTGTGGAAAGTTTCTCCTTCATAGGCTCCACTGGACACTAAGACAGGAGGAAGAAATCAAAATGTTATGATATAGCTGTTCTTGCAACCCATATAAACATTTACAGTGACAATTCTCTGGAACAGCTGGCTTTTATCTCACACTGACTTAATGCCCATACATGCAGTTGTGGAAAACATGAGGCAACTTACAGCTGTAGTGACATGAATGCAATAGTCAGACGCAGCGGGAAGATCAGATTGGCTTACTGCAGGCTTATGCAATGCATCATGATCACTTTTAAAGGAGGCAAAGAGAAAAACATTGTGTAAACTGTGTATAATCCTGCTGTCACCATCTGCACGGTGTTGCTAACCACTGGCAAAATACGACTGCAATGACGAGCCTCAACACGAAATGTGTGTGTTTACATATCAATTATGCTGTGTAAAATCACTGGGTGTGGTAAAAATGATGATGAGATAAAGTATACCACAAATATTTATTCTAATCCTGTACTGCCAAGTATTCATGTTCTTTCATCCTTAATACAAAAGAAAGCAGAACTTTGTATTTGAGAAAACAATTTTGTATTTTGATTGACTTTTCCTTCTTCTTTATAGGGGTTGGGTGGGAAATTGGGAGCTTGTTAATATGGAAATTCATCAATTTCCTGATTTTCAATGTTTTTGTTATATACCAAAATAAAAAATAAAGAGTAGAAAAAAAGAAAATAATATCTCAACTATAATACATTCACAACGTGTGATTCAGTGACACCAATTCAAGGTCTGGCTACTAACCTGATACTAACGCGGTATACAGTATTGTATTGTGATAAATAATGCCGTAAACACGGCTTTAGAGTGGATTTGCCCTTTAACGTCAGTGTGTTGCATTCAAGGATTCACTCCCATTGTAGACAATGGGCTCAGATGCTTTAGGTAAAGATGGACAAAGATGGACATTCATGAATTGCAACCAGGAAGCTGAAAATCCCCAACATTCAACAATCCCCGGCTACACACGTAAAGACCCCATTCAAAACAGGCTACCATCATCACCAAACCTCTGGTCGTCAAGGGAAAGCGAGGTTTCGGTGTCGTTGTGTCCGTCCAGTCGATACTCAAACAGGTAGGTACGGGGAGTCTCAGGAATGGTACTCTGGGCATTAGGTATGCTAAGCTAACACTTTCACTTTTAAACGACACAGAAAGACATTCAAAACTACATAAACGTTGGTGTGCATGCCCGCAACACGTCAGTCTATCATTATCGCACATGGTTTTTCAACTCTCAAGCTTTATACATCCTGTATAGTCTATGTACATGTTATTTATCACAAATGAAAGCTGACACCTGTCCTGTTGCGTAGCTAGCTTACACACTACGCTAACGTGGTATAGTCCTAATGGTCTTACCTTATCGGGGCATCATGATGAACACATGCATCGACCAGCATACTTATGTATTTATTTCATTGCATTTAATTACTAGATCGTCACATGTTCAAATGAAATTAATAGTTTTCATCTTAGAATAATAATAACCAGATCAGAAGTAGGCTATAAGCCCACCCTGCTCTCAGCTACTTATCATACTGGCGTTATTAAGCCACGCCCTAAAGGAGTTGTCATCGTGTCGGGCTCGTCTGACACGTGTCCATACCTGAGGCGACCTTTTACAGTAAGGTTTTTAAAACTTCTTAGTTTGATAGTTACAGTTATCAGCTGAGGTGTCTTTCATTTTTAAGTATCCCAGTTAAATAGGCAGTGACTTCTCCAAACATTTTACCAAAGGAAACATCAGAAGAAAATATGGATAAAGACTGAGCCATAATTAAAAATGTCTTGTTTTATATCCCATTCCTAGCATTTTTGGATTGGTTTACTTAATGCCACATTATCATGGATGCAACGTTTGGACACACCTTATAATACAATGTTTTTTCTTTATTTCTATTATTTTCTACACTGTATAATGATGCTGAAGGTATTACAACCATGTAATAACATATGGAATTACGTATGTAATTACGTATGTGTGTGGGAAACAAAAGAATTGTATATAAAGCAAAATGTTTTAGATTTTAGATTTCTTCAAAGAAGCCACCTTTTGCTTTGATGACAGCTTTGCACACTCTTGTCTCAAATGGCTTCATGAAGTAATCATCTGGAGTGGTTTTCCAACAGTCTTGAAGGAATACCCATATATGTTGAGCACTTCTTGGCTGCTTTTCTTTCACTCTGCTGTCCAACTCATCCCAAGCCGTCTCAATTGGGTTTCAGTCGGGTGATTGTGGTGGCCAGGTCATCTGATGCAGCACTCCTTCACTCTCCTTCTGGGTTAAATAGGCCTTACAAATGATGAAGCCACTAAGCGCAAAAGAAATGGGATGGCATGTCGCAGCATAATGCTGTGGTAGTGATGCTGGTTAAATGTGCCTTTAATTTTGAATAAATCGCCAACAGTGTCACCAGCAAAGCACCCCCACACCATCAACCTCCTCCTTCTCCATGCTTCATGGTGGGAACCACACACAGATACTATCTATTCTCCTTTTCTGCATCTCACAAAGACACAGCAGTTGGAACCAAAAATCTCAAATTTGGACTCAAACTACATACTCAAACTACTGATTTCTAATGGTCCATTCATTGTGTCTTGTAGCCCATGCAATTCTCTTCTTATTGGCCTACCTTATTAGTGGTTTCTTTGCAGCAATTTGACCATGAAGGCCTGGTTTACACAGTCTCCTGCGGACAGTTGATGTTGCGATGTGTCCGCTACTTGAACTCTGTGAAGCATTCCTGTAGGCTCTAATCTGAGGTGCGATTTCTGAGGCTGGTAACGCTATGAAATAAATCCTGAAATAAATTAATTAAGTAATACATGTAGAATTATATAGATAAAAGTGGTTACTTTGAAGAATCTAATATATGAAACATATTTTGTTTATTGTAGCACTTTTTTGTTCACTACATAATTCCAAACATGTAATTTCATAGTTTTGGTATGTCTTGAGTATTGTTCTACAATGTAAAAAATCAAGTCAATATAAAGAAAAATCTCTGAATGGGTAGGTGTGTCTAAATGTCTGACTGGTACTGTAGGCTACTTCCTGCGAATTTAATTACTACGTAAGAGAGAGAACAGGAAGGCCTTCAACAAACTCCTGTTGATAGCTCGTACTCCTTCAAGTGATATTATTCCAACCATAGACTCATCGCGTATCAACTAAACAGAACTTTTCCAAATTAACATGCCAGGTCCATGAGAAGCTCATTCACCATGCTGTACCTCATGATCCACGATGTGGTGCATACCATACATCCTTTATGCTTAGCAGACATCAGTGTGGTTAATTGATTATTTCTTAAGAAATTATACTGCCCCAGAATATCACTGATTGTCGATTGAATATCAATTGAAGTAAATCACTATTAGATTTATTTTAACAAGTTGCCCCTTTTGGTTGTATATGAAACAGTTTGAGAAACACTGAATGGTTTATGTCTTTATGGCTTCAGTAAAGTTGGCTGTTTAATTTCACCATGCATACTTCCAAAGTGTACATGAATAAGCAAATGTGTAACAGTGAATTTATTTGTGGTTTGACAAATGGTAAATTAATTTAGAAACGCCCCTTTTACCCTCTTCATTCCCTTTTGAGGGGGGCTTCCACTGTCCTAACTGAGACTCTTTATGGGGAGCCAGAGCTCAGGGTGTCTTTCCACGCTGGGAGTACCGGGAGTACCAGGCCTTGATGGCACCGCAAGCCCGATCCCAAAGGTGAACAAACCCTTGTGTAAGCAGCGCTGGAGGTAAACGCGGTTAACTCTCCCTCCCTTGAATGAACCTCAGGTAGACACTTAACCAAATGGATGAGACCTCCCTCTTGTACCTCTTTTCTAAATATGCCAGGGAGAGGCCTCACTGCCAGGAACAGCGCGATAGTTGGTCAGCTTAATATAAATTAACTCTTGACAGTTCCTTGCATACACCAGCCTGTTCTTAACGGAACCTTAAAGAATGCTTTGGGCTCCCAGCATCTATCTCAGACCTATTTGAAGTTAACCTCTAGCCATCACGTGGAGGGGGCTTACCTTCAAGCAGGTTGGTGTACAATGTGGTGTCTTTAAAAAAAAAAAAAAAAAAAAAAAAAGAATTCATTTCTCTCAACAAAGTTTAAGCCCTTTATTTTGGGTTAACAAAAATTAGTCTCTGGATGAAACTGAGTGTCTAAAAATCAAATTTTAAAAAACAAAGAAACAAAAAGCTGAGAGTTGTCAGGAAAATGGAAAAGAAGCTTCATGCCTTAGATTTTGCCTCCCTTATATACATTAAATAGAGGAACTAACTCATCCTGTTGTTCACAAACATGTACATATATAGACAAAAGTTATGATTTCTGCTTTAAGGGTGAAACACAGTTTACACGTCCATGTACATATTTGGTATAACACATTAAATACTGCCATGAGGAAAGGCACAAATCACTTTCAATGTGTTGCACCTACAACTGTCAGGGGGCACCTGGTTGTACAACATCCACACACTGAAAGAGGCAAGAGGCCCTAAGCGCATCTTGTTGCGCAACATCTGCTTACTGCAAGAGAACTTGAGCAAAATACATTTCCCCTCTTTACTTTGTTATGTCCCTTAGTTGGAGCTAGGGGTGACAGGAACCGTAACGTGACAAATAAAACTGAGTCAATGAGTACTTGAAGGTAGTTTATTGCAACCTGAAGGTCTCAACAAGGAAGTCCAATGTGGGAGAGGAAGGGACAAAGGTAGTGTGCCAAAGAAATGAACCCAATAAAACAAAATGAGGCCTCAGCTATCTTAATCTACTGAAACAAAAACACACAAAAGACAACCTATCTACCTAATCTAAGAAGAGGGCCTCTAAAACAATACAGTGGGTGGCACCCACCACTAACCTAATGTTTCTAGACAAAGAAAAACTGCGTGTTGAGATGTACAGGGTGCCCCAATTTACCTAACTCCTTCCTCCCACCACATACCTTAAGTACATCCCTTAGATCCATAAACACAACTGGCAGGCTTATCACTATCAGGCAAAAGGAAAAGGAGAGATCTCCTGATATCAGGCTCCCCTTTTATTGGAGGACTCGAGGCAGATGATTGGCCACTGGGGCAGCCAGGAGCTCAATAAGCCATCCTCCCCTAGTCTGCTCCGGTGGAGCCCAATCACCAATCAGCTCCTGGAGAGAAACCAAGTGAGGGAGAGACAGAGAGAGAGAGAGGGAGAAAACAAAAACAAACAGCCTGCCCTTGCCTGGCACATAACTTAAACATCAAGACTAACAAAAGGCCTACTTTTCAAAGTATAACATGACAGAATAGAGTATAAAAATATAACACTTAGCTTGTAAGATGAGCAATAAACAATACATATAAAATATGGAAAAAAGTATGTATGGTGAAAGAGTACATATTCACTGAGCGTAACTTGCTGAACACATCAATACTAAGCATGACTTAAGTATATCATCAAATGAATATTTGAGTTTATGGGTACATATAAGAACAACAGATAAAACTGTCACATATGGAAATTAGTTCATTAATATAATATATGCAAACAAAACCAAACTTATTAGGGCTAAGTAACTACATGACTTGGATATGTGTGTTTAGTAAAATAAAAAAGTTCACTGTTATTTACACCAACTTAATTCCAAATCAACAAAGCAGCAATAGGTATTGGTTGGGAAGATGAAGAGAGCTGAAAGTTCACTCTTCTTCTTTTGCTCCTTTCAACCATCTGTTTATCCATCTGTAAAATGGCATGTGTTTTTGTGTGCAAAAAGTAAACAAACAAAATTAATCTTGTCATATCATTAGTCAGTGTTTATTTCCAAGTTGTGGATGGTGCAAGCTTGCAAATTTGGTTGATATGCCTTTGAATACAGTCATTTCCAGAGAAGAAGAGGCTTTCTATCCTTCTTGGCCACGTTGCAGAGACAGGTGAGCACAAGCAGCAGGTCCTTCTGAAGTTTTCTGGGTGCTGTGGTCGCTATCAGATTCCTCAGAAAGTCTGGGTTGTTGTAGTCCATTGCCTGAGTGCTGTTTTCAGCAGGCCTCTCCTTCAGGATCCCATAAGTGTTGACAGTAAATTCAGTGAAAGCAGGGTGAAGTGTTATTTTATACCCGAGCTGTTTCAACCGTTCCATGAGGTCAGTATACCTCTGAGTGAGATGAAGCCGATAGCCTTCATCCACCTGACCTGTCAGCGGATGTGTGCTAACCTACAAGAGAGGAAGGCAAGCTTGAGAGTCATGTAAGTGGAATGTTACGGTCAGTGTTTTTCTAAATGAACTGATAATGGGACAAGCTAAATTGTTCAGATTTGATCTCTAATGTCAAAAAAAGAACATTTTTTTCTTGAACTGTCCACAAGCAGGTTCTTGATAAAAACAAAAACTCTTCCTTTAAATGACTCGTATATCAATGAAGGATTTCTTACCTCTATGATCTTGTCTGGTATGTTGAGTAGTGTGAAACCGTAGAGCCTTTTATGGCCCTGGAAGACATGAGACAGAATCCTCCCATCCAGTTGGTAGGC